TTAATTTTTTGCATTTAATTTCTTCTGTTTCTACAAAGAAATGACTACAGCCTGTCAAAAGATTCTTTTAACTTTTTGCTTTCCCTCTAGTGTGTTTGGCCCCCATTCTAGGCCAATTGTTTCTAACCATTTTTCAACGTGTTGGCCCCAGGTTAAACAAATAGGACGGTTCCTCCGACATTAATCAGGCCACACACCAGATAGCATTAAGATGTATTTTGGAATTTTTAAGTTTCCATTCCTACCTTAAATTTATGGTTGGTGAGAAAGGAATGGTACAATTAAAATCTAATGGGCAATGTTGTCAATTTTCAATTGCATCTGAGGGCAAAATAATCCATAAGGCTCAACGGGTTTATCCATTTTATATCTATCCGTTGCTCGGGGTATAGCTCAGTTGTGTAAAGGAGAGAAGTAAGGTTATCTCACACCTTGTTAGCAACCGCAGTGTGGGGGTTCGACTCCTGAAATATGGAATTAGACTTGTTGTAGGCGAGTGTACATACAATTCTTGTTCTCTGGCCGGCTGGGCCACATCCCGCGATTTACTTCCCTCACAAAATTCTAGGAGCGAAGCGGTGAGAGTTCTCAAGGTTGTGTTCAACCTTTATTATTATTATTATTATTATTATTATTATTATATCTATCCTGTTAAAAATCTGAGTTCCTGTACCATGTGATCAGGCATGTACAGTAGGAAAATAAGATTTGATTAAAAAAAAAAAAACTCATTAAAATGAATATCAAACAGTGGCATAATGCTTAAGTTGTTTTCAAGGTAATTCCACTTTACTTTCCTAATAAGCCCCTGTTTGAGCCACATTTTTACCTCATTAAAATGAAAAATATAATCGTTATTCATCACATCAAACCATCTTTTTTGAATTTCTATCTCTGGTGTGGGGCCCATAACGGTTCTATTTTTCATTCTCATTCTCATTATAATGTGGTTCAAACAGGCTCTAAATAATTTCTTGAGCCATAAGCAAGAACAAATATTTGATTTATCCAAACATATTGTAAACAAGACATGATTTAAACAAACGTTTTAAGGAGAGAACATAAATGGTCATATTTCTTCATAGAACAACTGTTTGAAAGTCCCAATATGCTCTGTCTGCAGGCAAAATGCAACCATTATTGATCCATCCCCTTCACAACTAGGAATAATAAATGATTTCCCATCAAAACCCATTTCTGCAGGGCCCATGTGGATGAGATCTCCCCACCCAAAGTCAGCTTCATATACAGACATAGATGTCCAACTTGTGATTTCCATGTTAGGGTTTCCATAGAAAGATCCCAATGAACACCCTTTGGTAGGAAAATTGCGAAGCCAAGAGATATCTTGTTGATTTGCGACAAGTAGATATGATCTTATATATTCATCTGTTACTTTATCGATTGATTCTCGTATTCTACTTGAAGCGTAAGCTAAAGGGTTGGAAAGTAAGTCTTTTGTTGTTGCAATTGCTGCTTGACGTATAACGGCATTTCCAAAGTATCCCTTTGGTATTGGTGGCTGTATTCTATTTCTCAAATCGACTGCCAAGTGTAATCTCGTTAGTTGCTCGTTTTTATGCCCCCGCACCTTGGTTGTGCACCTCCAGATATGTCCGGCCACAGCTTCGTACCTATAGGGCAAACCCAAATATATACTTTTATAAAGTAGAATGCTATGTAATGTAGAACCAACGGCTTATCACATAGCAAGGGGCACACATTTCACAATTAGTTAAAATTAAAAATACAATTGATCAAGAATTGTGGGATGTGAATTCACTATCTTAGACATGTGCTAAGCACAAATCGTGTTACCAACCGACGTGTCTACCATTGTTTTAAAACTCTTTTTTCCTCAAATCCGTTTTGAATCACACGTTCTCAAGATGAAATAATTTGCACGTAATCCCAAAATTTGTTCACAATTTTTAACCACGTATTTCATTGAACCAACAACTTTCAATCACATATTTTACCAATTTTTATTAAAATTTATTACAAATCTGATTTTGTATTCAAGTTGCTGTACTCAAGACTTGAATGGTCCTACATAATTGGACTGTTTCTATTACCTGGTATATGGACGTACGATGCTTTTGTACGGTGTCTCCTCATTGGCCTTGCTCTTCAGCTCATTGATTTGTTGTTTGCTTAGCTTTATCATAGCAACCGTCGTTGGCTTCTTCCGCTCCTCCATATTGTCCGAGCGCCCTACCAAGAGCGGTGGTGGTGTCAACTCTATGTGCTCGAATTTCGGAGCGGACGGTAGATCCCCAAGCCGCAGAATTTTTCGGTCGAGAAGTGGGACGATACTAGTCATCTCCCCGCGGACAATTTTGGCCCATTCACTAACAAAATGAATCGCACTTATTCCATCTGCTAAAATGTGTGAAATGCCCAAGCCCAGACAAACACCCCCGCAACTGAATTTAGTAAGCTGTACCAAAACCAATGGTTGTTCATGAATTGGAGTTGCAATATAATCTACTTTTGGAATGAGCTCTCTCATTGCTTCATTTGGAACAAAATCCTGAATTTCATAGTCTTCAATCATCAATTCGGATTCAGCTTCGACCAGAGTCGCTCCCTCAGCGTTGCAATGAAGCTCGAGGCGACCTCCGCCAATCTCATGGAGGCGCCCCGCTAGCGGATAGAACAGTACAAGTGCTTTGCTCAAAGACTCTTTTAGAATTTGGATTGCATGAGAATATAGAATATCCTCGTTGAGGCGATAAAAGTAGACAGTAGGAGCATGAATGAGTGTCTTAGTTTGATCAATTTCTGATAACTGCATGATCTCATTGGGAGTCGACTCGGTGGGTTGTACTGTGTGAGTTGCTGCTGCGGTCACCATTTTCGTACAGGATAGAGAGGAAAAGGGAGTGAATATGGAGGTCTTCTGCTTTTCACTCTTAAATGAGTGGTTACTAGTTTGCTGGCATTTTAAGGACTTTGCTGCTATACTAGGCTTGGGGTTCCTACGGACCCTCACACCTAGATGGGTCCCATGCATAAAAAATCCAAACTTGTTGGAGTGACAGATAATATGGTCAGAATTTTGATGTCAGCCCCATGTGACGGCCCCTATTGGAGCGACGGTGCCACATGGGCCTGTCACCAAAAGTATGTCCAAATTATTTGTTTGAAAAGTTTTATTGTAAAAAATACCACTTGTGGTACTTGCACAAGGCCTGTGCAGGCATACATACATGGAAGTGGACCGTAGTTCAAATGCACACACATGAAAATGGACCCCAGTCTGTGCAGGGAATTCAAAAAATACTCGGTAATGTAAATTAATTCTAGTCAAAGACAATTTACTCCATAAAAATCGTGACATGCCATGTATGATACTCGTGGTTGGCATCGCTATAAAACCCAAAATCAAAGAATATGAAAAAAATAAAGACCTACCTTTTCTCCCTGACCTACTAGTCAACCTATCGTATAAATAAACCATATAACATTTCCTACGCGAGACAGCATCTCCCTTTACATCCAAATTTAGAATTCAATTGAAATACTAGTTTTTAACAACTTCTTCAAATTGTAATATCTTGATGCTGATTTATTCAAATCAACTTTTTCTCAAACCTAAAATAAATTATTAAATATGAGCTATCTACCAAGTTACAATATTGATTTACTTATTACTACTCTATCAATATTTAATATTTGATCCAAATAAAATAAAAATTAATACATGTATCACTTCAACCCCAAATTTGCCAACATATAAAATGTAGCAGATAGAGCAAATGGTTTTATCCTATAAAATTTTTGGGGCATTATAATTTTCTTTCTTTAAATGAATTTCGTCCCAAAATTATCTTATCTAGGTAAAAAATCCTAGATACTTGATCTCCTATTCTCCAGACTTCAAAAAATTTACCTTCTTCTCACAGCTTCGTATTTGAACCGGGGGTTGAACCGGTGACTTTTATAAAATAAAAATAATATAATATAATATATATATATATATATAAAGAAAGAAAAGAATGAAAAGTAAATATTTACATCAAATCACAAAATCAATCAATTACAGTCAACTAAGTTGCTACTCAGTCCAATTATATAATTTAAAATATTTTATAAGTAAATAACATAAAATAAACAATAATGTCAATAACTGAATAACATGAAAACTAAAATAGCTAAAATTTAAAAGTTTCACATCAACTATCACCAATAAAAAATTTCAAGTAATAAAAGGAACTAAAAAGTACACTAAACATAAAAGATTAAACAGTTAAATTTCGCCTTTATCATTTTCATCTATAAGCGTAAAACCCTTGATCACTTCCACAATCACTTGAACTATCAAAACGATGAATAACATCTAGTGCGTCTAAATCTCCCATTTCTTGAGTATTAATCTCATCCTTATTTTCATTGTCATCTAAAATACAAAAATAAGAAGAAACGATGAATAACATCTAAAATACAAAAATAAGAAGAAACAATATATTAGATAAAAATACATGAATAATATTAAAAAAAAAAAGTAAAAACAATAAGTTCAAATTATTACACTTACAAACCTTGAACATTATCGTCAATTTCAAGATCCTTAACGTTGGAAATTGCGTTTTCTTCATAAATAGCATTATCTAGGTCTTCATACTTGAAATCTTGTGGTGGCACGTCTTCCTCTATCCGAAAGTTTATTTTGTCAATACACTCATAATCAACTGGATCATAAGATCTCTTCTTATAATAACGTCTATAAGGTTGTAAATGAGTAGTAGTTAGATAAAATTAAAAAAAATAAAAAAAGATATCAAATAAATGAGTCATTAAAATAGACTCCTGAAGTGGTAAAAAGTTTAAAATTATATACCTATCCTTCAATTGCAAATTATACGTAACGTAGACAAGATCATTGAGTCTTTGATGCTCCAATCTATTTCTTTTTTTCCTGTGAATACGTTCAAAGACACTTCATTTCCTTTCACATCTCGAAGAAGAAACTGCTTGACCAAGAATTCGAACAGCTGTCTTTTGCAAAGTAGGAGCGTTAGATCCACACAATTTCCATCATTTATCTACATAATTTAATAAAATTGGTTAGACAAGATCATTGAGTCTTTGATGCTCCAATCTATTTCTTTTTTTCCTGTGAATACGTTCAAAGACACTTCATTTCCTTTCACATCTCGAAGAAGAAACTGCTTGACCAAGAATTCGAACAGCTGTCTTTTGCAAAGTAGGAGCGTTAGATCCACACAATTTCCATCATTTATCTACATAATTTAATAAAATTGGTTTTAAGGGCTAAGAACTATTAAAAATAAACAACAAAAAACTAAATACAAATTCTTACCAGGTTGTAATGACTTTCTACTATTACGTGCAGATTGCTTTCCAAAACTCCCTCCACAGCCTTATCTCCCTCATTACTTTTGTCTCATCACTACAAATGCTATTTTATTTCAAGCAAATTGAATAGACTTTGCATGACTTCTACTTTTTGACAAATTCTTTCTTCATATATGATAGCAGGATTAAAAAAGTGAGCTACTGCACGTATGTTGAGATGAAGATGTTTATCCCATCGCTCCTTTATTATATCAGTGTAATGTTTGTACAATCTCTTCTTATTTAAGAATTTATTCTTGATTCCTTATTGTGCCCTATGCATCCCTTCATATATATGACCCAATGAAGGTTTTTCATCTGAATTTGCAATTTGTAACAATCTTATAATAGGATCCACAATTTTCACAGCCATCAAACAATCCTCCCCAAACATGTTATCCAAGGTGATTGCAAAGCATTAAATGGAATGCAAGCATCATAAAACCACTTAGCCCAAGACATATGGGCTCTCTTTATTGCTTGTTTACTAGCTAAAGCACTCTTTAAACTAGGCTGAGATCCAGGAGTGGTCCTTGGAGTAAAATATGCTTCAATCTTGTCACTTGCTTTCCTCTTTCCTTTGTTTTTATGAAGACACATGTATTTCTTGAATTTTCTCTTCTATTTCCTCTCCTCCAATTTCTAAATCTATATAATTATCCCTAAAAGTACAATCATGAGCCTCTTTAGCATCTAGTTTCTTTTAAGTTATATCCTTAAGAATTCCTTGAAATTTAAATCGAACATCAAAAGGAACTTTCTTACATTGAGATATTTGATCTATAATTCCAGCAATATGGTATTTCATTCTACTAATTCCCCCACCTTTAAAGCTATTGTTGCAATAAAGACATGTGTACCATCAATGTCACGACTAGACGAGAAGTGTTTGCATTAAGGATCAGTCTTTGCCCAGCTAGAAGGTGTGGAACCTATAAATTGCCTTTCCAAAGATTGAGTATTGATGTCCATCCTAATTCCTAAGTAAAAGACCCATAAATTAAAAGAACCATAGTTAGATAGAGTACATATAATTTTCAAACCAAGAAACCAAGTATGGCAGGTGAAAAAAGGAACAAAACTCAAGTTCCTTTATTGATGGTTAAAGTTTGGGATTAAACAACGGCGCAGTCAAGAATCTATACTTTTATTATGTGAACAATAAAAAATCCAATATGCAAGAAATTAATAAAGAATTATAGGGAGAAAAAACAACAAGATCCAATAAATTTCACAAATATCAAAACTGGTGGTAGAAAACTGTAAAATATGAAAAGTAAATATTCCTATCCCTAAATTAATCGAAATCCAGGAGGAAAAGATAAAAGTTTCTGGTAAGAGAGAGAGAGGAATACAATAAAAAACGGTGTTTAGAAGCCATAAAACCTGCTTGAAAACCTTAAATCTTGAAGAGGAGAGAAATTAAAAACCTGAAGTGGACAGAAACCAAGGCAGGAAAAAAAGGAACAAAACTCAAGTTACTTTATTGATGGAAAGGTTTGGGATTACACAATGGCACAAGTACAATCCAGAATCTATCTAACAGTTATATAAATTGTTAGATACGGCATAAACTGGAACTTATTTTGGGTTACCAAACATAAAATTCTTATGGTGCAATGCATTTACATTCTTGCGATTATGAAATGACACCTCAACAATGAAGTATTAAGAATCAAAATTGAATTTGTTAAATATATCCACAATCCTATGTTCTTCATAATTTCTAATGCAAAAAAGATACTGACTAAATGTTTAGGATAAATTTTTAATGCAAAATTGAATTTGTTAAATATATCCACAGCCCTTTCTCAAGACGAAAAAGCAAAGAAACCACTCGATTAAAAATAGAAACTTAAAGGGCAATGATAACTAATTCCAAGCTTTAGAAGTCAAGGAAAAAGATTTTTATTTCCTATGGGTACTAAGATTCCAAGAAACCACCATTATCATTTGAATTTCAGAAGACCAAATTTGTAAGCGACAATCATTATCAAAGTCAAACCATGAAGTATATTAATTTTTCATAGATTATACTGGATATTTGTACTGTATAATTTTGTAATGAAAGATATCTATAGATAATGAAACAAAAGCAATTTAGTTTATGTTAAGCCTAATAAAAAACAAGTCAACAATGATCTAGCCAACGAATAAAGGGAAAGATAATAGAATTATGTGGAGAAAAGGTTAGGTTCTTGCTCTTTCAAATGCACAGTACAACCATTCAGACTAAATATTTATAAACAACACCAAGTATCAAACATCACAAGCTTTCTATGAACAACAATGTTACGGGGGAAATTGTTATTCGAAAACTACAAAATATGAAAATTAGATAATTCTTATCCCTAAATTAATTAGAATCTAGAAGGAAAAGATAAAAAATTCCAGAAAAAAAGGACAATGAAAATCAAGGTATTTACAAGTAATCAAACTTGCTGTAGAAGTCCATTAATGGAAGAACAAGATTTAGAATATGGATTCAAGAACAAAGAAGAGAAATTTTGATATTTACCTTTTACAGATGCGGCACATTGAACAGGAGAGGAAGATGAGTTTGAATAAGGGTTTTCTTATTTCGTCCATTTCCTTTACCTTCGTTCGGCCCATTCCACTTCCTCTTTCCTAAAAAGTCAATGCTTTCTTGAATTTTCTAATCAATTTCTAGTTAATTTGAAATTACGTGAGCTCGTTGTAGAACATGACTATACACGATAAATTCATGACATGCCATGATTCCTCTAATTCCTGGGCGAAGTCCAAGTTCGAACTTTTTAGCTTTCTTTTGCTTTGTATCTACTAGATGTATCACATAACTAGAATGTTGTTCGAACTTCCTCTCATAATCGATCAGTGCCATCTCTTCGTGTTTAACTTACAGAAATTCTGTCTCCTTACGATTCCTTAAAGCTTATGGAAAATATTTTTCCATCTCCTCCTCTTTGAAATGTGCCCAAGTAAGGTTGCTTTTTTGTGCCTTAGTCCTAGTACGTGAAACGGACTCTCAACAGTGGCTCGTTGCATCGACTAGCATGAACTTCACATATAAAACCTTTTGGGCATCAGTTGCAGCTGAGATGCTTGAAGATTCGTTCCGAATCCCTTATACATTCCTCAACTGCCAACTAGCTAGCCATCTTGTTAAAGGTATGGGGCTTATAATGATGAAACTGTTCCACAACTAAGCTCGTGGTCTTGGAGTTACTCTGTGCATTCTGAGAAGATGCTTGTGTTTGCTGCCTACCAAGATCTTATACAGCTCTCAACAAATTCTTAAACATAGCAACTTGTGTTGGTTGATATGCCATTTTCTTTAAATCAACCAAATAAATTTCGTTTTAGAAATGGTTAACAATATCTCAATATATTTGAATGAACAACTCAGTTTCATAAAATTTTAAATCCTAAAATACATGAAAAATGATTGAAAGGATTGAATCATAGACGATGAAGAAAAACCTATGGATTATTCCAAATGCTTATTACATCCCTCTTTTTTATAGGACGAAATTATTTATTTAAACTAAACTATCTCTAGGTTGCTAGTCTTCATCTTTGTTTGTCCAACCATTTTGAATCCTATGAAGCTTAGATAGAGGGGCTTCATCATCCAAAGATATACATGACTCAGGCTCAGAATCTTGGTCAACGTCTAGCTTAGGATCTAGTTCGAACCTTAGCTCATGCTCTGATTCTTGTTTTGGTTTTGGTTCTAACTCTAGTCCTAGTACATAGTCCAGCTTGTTCTCTAGCTCGGACTTAGATTCATAATTTAGCTCCTATTCTGGGTCTTCCTCCATGTCCTGCTCTGGCTCAGGTTCGGGCTCGAGAGTAAAAATCCACCTATCTAGGAAAGTTTCATAGTACAGCTCGAACTCGACTCTTTTTGGGTGCTCTGGAAGGTTACCCTCTAGTATTTCGTCCCTAACCACAATGCCTATGTGTCTCCACTAAGGTGATAATGTATGGATAAGTTTGTTAACAGCTTGGAGGGGTGTAATCTCATATTCTACACCTCTTGTTGTAGCCCATCTAGCAAAGACTTCCGCCACATGTTCAATAAGTGTGTAAGTTGGGCCTACCTCATAATTTTCGTAGGCTTGGATAACTGTTGCCCTATAGTTTAGAACAACCTTACAAGCCGTTGTCTTCCTAGCGGTCTCCTAGTTCTAGACATGTCTATCACATACATGCCAAGTCCAATTATGCTTAATATTTTATTAGTTATAACACATTGTCTTTTATGCTCGCATAATTCATTACACAGATAACATAAAATATTATACTTCTATCGAAAGTTGATTAAAAGTAAGCGAGAAAATAATTCATAAATGGAAGCAAATATATTTCACATCATGCTCACAATTTATACTAGAATATAACATTTCATTCCGTTTTCAACATTTTTTGTATTAAATATAAGAATGTATATCTCATGTTCAAAATTAAATTTAAATAAAACATATTACGTAATACATTCATTTCGTTGGATGGTAGTTTATTGGTGAATGCTAGGTGTCAAGAATCTTGTTATAATTCTTGTTTCTTAAAATGTTTATCAAAATTTTCACTTCTCTGGGCTTGCCAATACGTGAATACAAAATTTGCTGAAACTTTGTACTTTGATTTATATGTATGGATAATGGATCATACAAAGGGCATTTGGGAAAGTTTAACATATTATGTATTAATCTGTGAAATTTAAAATTTAAAGGATACGTGAATATATGTATGACAGTGACTAACCTCCTCATTTTTTTTGGTTGATAAAATATATCATATAATGCACATGGACCCATCACATTTAATTCGGGAAATCCTAGAAATATCTGCCATATGTATATAAAATCAATTTTTTCTCTTCCGATTACTCTTCACGTGAAAAGTGACATCGTGTCACTGTTCACAGGAACAGTGACAACACGCTGTCATTGTGACAACATGTGAATCACACACTTTTCACGTTCCTTTTTTTAACACTAAAAAAAAGGTTAAACTCCAATCTTAAATGCCTTCACCGCCTCTGTCCTGAAGTATCGTAAGGGAGGTAAATCCCAAGTTATGCCTCCAAGGGTACAGGGTGGAAGGCTGCTTGTACACTTGCACTTATTCAAGAGCCAAATCCATATTTCAGAATCCGAACCCTTAACACAGCAGCCTCAAGCAAAACTGAATTTCTCCACCCTCCCCTTTTACCATTTGGAGACTCCTTTTTTTAACACTAAATATCAGTCAAGGTAGTAGAGCTAAACAAGTAAAAACGTGTAGTGTAAAACACGGGAATCACAAAATAACAGTTTAACACTAAACTATTATCATTTTAAAAATATTATTTAAATCAATTTACTAACTGAAACACACAAACATTTAATATCAAACTTTAAAAATAAAATGTCATTTTTTTATATGCTGAATTTATTTATTATTATTATTTTTTAAAATGTCTACAGGAAAATAGAACCGTGCTCTGATATTATACTGTAACGTCCCAAACTTTATTGACTTAAATTAGGGATGTTGCCGATATTATTTCATAAACATACTTGAAGCAAAAATATTTATTTGGAAATTTAAAGCCTTAAAATTATTTGAACATTAACTTACTAAATTAAATAAACGTAATGCCACGAAATTAAGAACATTTAATGAAAATAAGGAAAAACACAATATATATCCTAACAAATTTATTGTTGAATATTTTCTTAAAAATTTTACGTGGCAACCCACACACCGCTTCGCCACCATCCACGTTTGACCGATCTAACCTGGAATCTTAAAATTTGAAGGAGTGAGTAATTTAAACTCAATAGGATATGTGCCTCCAAAATAATATAATAACTTTTTAAACATAAATTTATAACATTCCATACCATCATTTCATCAAGAGTAATTGGAGATCAGTCGAATGCTCTAACACATTTCTGTGCATACAATTGAAAAAATTGGAAGGAGATCTCACATTTCATTTCATTAAGACCCCAAGTCAATCAGCATTTCATGAAATAAAATTATGTAAAAAAAATTATAATTTTACAAGGACAGATCAACTTGTATATAGTATTCTACCTTAATTAATGAAGAGAATTGTTGGAAGAAAAGTAAATAATTCACATTCGCAAAAAATAATAATAATAATAATAATAAATAAATAAAATAAAAAAATATGTTGCCTTCTGTAAAATTGTGTACCAAATAGTAAAAAACATATCATTCCTTCTTTATTCCCAATTTGAGTACTTATTTAAGGAATAAATCAATCATTCTCCTGTGATTAATTCTAATCAAAGACAACTGATGTTGTGCATGATGCCGAGAAAGGTCCGTAATATAATTAATAATATTATTCATACAATTAAAGAAAGAAACTACTTTATCTTATCCCTATTTAACCTACACGTGGTTGGCATCCCTATAAAACCCCAAAATCAAAGCAAATGAAAAAAGCCCTACCTCGTCTACCTAACCTACAACTCAAAATAACAACCATGTTACACTATAACAAAATTTGACACATTGATTGACATAATATACTCACATGGAAAGTCGACATTATTTTATTCGCACGGGACTCATACTTCGACTGTGAGTGTGGTGTCATCATTTGTGTCAACCATTATATTTATTTGACATTTTCCCAAAAATAAACCATGTAACATTTCCTAGATGGGACAACATTTCCCTTTACATCTTAATTTTGAATTCAACTGAAACACTAGTTTTTAACAACTTTTGCAAACTGTAATATCTTGGTGCTGATTTATTTAAATCGACTTTTTTTGAGCTTAAAATGAATTATTAAATACGAGCTATTCAACAAATACAATATTTATATACTTATCATTAATTTATCAATATCTAATTATTTGACCCAAATAAAATAGAAATTAATACACGTATCACTTCAACCCCCAATTTTTTAAAATTTAAAATGTAGCAGACAGAAAAATAATTTTATCCTACAAAAATTTTGGGGCATTACACCTACCTTGTACCCCAAACATCTTCCAAAATTTAGGGTGGGAAGTGATCCACGTATCTTGTTACTTCGACATTCTTCTCGAGTGGTACTTTGTGAAATGACATTATTAGTTGACGTTCGATTATATGCGTGTTATGATTTGAAACGATTGTCTAAAGTTCTATGGTCATAAAGATTGTCACGAATTGCATACTCAATGGTTCGAGTATAGTAAGACAAAATATGTAATGTGATAAAAGATATATTGTTCACAATTAGTACATAAAGTTGAACACTTTATATTGATAAGATTGCATTGTTTTTATTATGATTTGTCTAGATTTTGGAGTAAAAACAATAATTTTTTATGCATTTTGAACGGCACTGCGTAGATGATTCATTTGTGATTGCTCGAAATAAGACTCTACTCAATTACCAAATAAGTCACCTAAATCCGTAGTGAGTAATGTACCTTTAATTGCTAGTTTTTATTCTTTAAGCCACCGATGAGTAAAGTCTTAATTGAAAGATTGATCATGGGAATCAGGTCGAAATAATTAGATATCATATATTTGTGATAGTAGAATCCATTAATCATCAAGATGAGACGATTGCTACTCTAAGATATTTTCTATGGGCAAATTGAACCTGGGCTCAGTAGTTCGATGATGAG